CCTATTGCGGTATAATCGTTATAGGTAGCTAGCAGTGTAGTGCACAACCGAAATATGGTGCGTCCGGGGTTAACCTCCGTCCGTGTATGTGGAAGAGGGAAGTAGTAATCGACGTCCGTCCATGTATTTCGACATCTGCCCCAAGACCTGTGTCTCTTCGACTTGTTTCTGTTCTCTTCCACCTTTATTCTTTTCTTTTTGGTTCCCTTCTTTCCCTTTGCTGCGCCCCGCCGTCCTTCGTCCCTCTTATCCTCTCATTCTATTTCCTGCATTTTCCCCTCCGTTCTGTCTTTATTCATTTTTTTTTTATGTTTCCCCTACTTGTCCTTTGCCGCCCCCTGCCGTCCTTTTCCAACCATCCCCTTTTACTCCACATGCACTCCTCCCCCTCCCTCCCCTTCCCCCCCCCCCCGGGGCCCCAAACCCCTCCCCCCGGCCCTGTCTGCCCACCTTCTTTTTTCCTTGCTCTCTGAGCTATCGGTACCTTTATTTTATTTATTGCAAGTCCTAGGTACTAAGAATTCACCGCATCGTTGCAGGGGTATGGTTGCACACGTCCAGCACAGCGGCGCACAGGTCATTAAGAAAGCGTTGGCTATTATTAACACGTTATGAAGTTGATGATTTCCACCAAGAATTTGATTTCCTGGCTGTGCTAATTCCATGAGAATAGTACAGAGAAGAAAAGCATGTGCCCATTACTCCAGCGCAATTGCACCAAAGATTAGATATCAAGTACCTTTATCCTGTGGTTTGTTTGCTTGTGGGAAACGGCCGGCCACCTCTGTGCAAAACAACTTGTCATATCAGTTGTTCAAAAGACTCGAAACTGGATCGACAAACCATCTTTCGGTAACAAAATGGTTTGTCGAACCAGTTTTGAGTCTTTTGACCGATGTTTTCGCTCTTTTGAACAGCGAAATCCTTCACGAACAGTTTCGCGATCACAAGCCTCTAGCGAGGGCTGTAAATGAAACAGAGAATTTTCTTGACGAGTCGACAGTTTTTTTTCGTGTTTTTTTTTTCTTTCTTTCCCGTCAACAGTTTTCTTTCTTTGTTTTTTCGGCCATCGTGATTTGAACCATTTGAACCTTTGTTCGTACTGTATTCTCTGTGTGTGAGCCAATTTGCCAGTATTGCTTGGCATAGAGGAAATGTTTTTTTTCTTGTTCGTATTTTGGTACTCTGGTCTATGAGCCCTCGATAACGGCAGTCGGGCCCGTTCTGGATCTCTGTTACGTTTTTTTTTTTTCTGTTGTTGTTGTTTTGTTTGAGTTTACGTAGTGTTGCTAACTCGTTCTGGGGCGTGGTGATTTGTTGACAGGAGAAGAAGGATAAGCTGAGAGAGGAACAGGCGAAGTTGAAAGAAGGAAAAGAAGAAGACGGAAGTGCGAAAGATGACACAGATGAAAAGAGACGAGGGGAAAGAGAGGACACGAGGGATCGAGGAAGAAGCAGGGATCGCGACGCAGAGAGAGAGAGAGAAAGGGACAAGGGAGGAAGTGGTGGTGGGAGGGAACGGGATCGAGACGACTGGCCGGGCACGAAGGAGCGCGACAGAGACCGTGGATTCGTGCGGGGTGGTATGAGAGACTGGGGTGGACGAGGGGGAGGTGTAATGTCCGGAGACAGAGATAGGGACAGGGAGCGCGACAGGGATCGGGATAGGGATAGGGGGGACAGGGATCGGGATAGAGAAAGGTCAAGAAGCAGAGAATGGGACAGGGGCAGGGACAGAAGTTACGGCCGCGAGAGGGACGGCATGCGGATGTCCAAGTCTTCCAGGTCGAGATCGAGATCGCGATCCCCGTTAAACACCCGAATTCACAACAGTTCGCGCAACAGCAGGCGGCACTCGTCAAGGTCTCCAATCCATAGATAGACTATAGAGAATGATATAGGCAGGGCAGTTTGGTGACAAGAGCTGGTGGGTAGGAACGAGGGGGGAGGGGGGGGGAGGCGAATGTACCAAAAAGAAGATTGCAAAGTAGTCGAGCAAGAGTGGTGAAGCAGCAGCGGGAAGAGGGAGTCGGCAACCAGCAGGTGAGTGAGGCCCGCGGGGGAAGTGGTTGCTGGTATCGTTGCGGAATCAAGCGAGAGCAGCATGGGTGGGATTGAAGTAGTTAACAGGATGACGATGACGACGTGCGTCTGGAGGCAATAATACGAATGGGTGGAGGAGTGATATGCTGCTGTTCACGAGGGGTGTTGTCGATGGTGTAATAGAAGAACAGGACTGCAGGACTTCCGATTGTCTGCAAAGGTAAGGATCATTTGCTGAGCTGTCACAGGCAGGGATTTATGTATATGTGTTGGAACTCAATTAATCAAGGAACTGTGTTTTTTTTCCCAGGCTAGGATTTTCCTGTTTGTGTTGTCCCTTATCATGACCTATCTTCCTTTTCTAAAAGCATGATTTGGACCACGGCAACTCGCTGCGCAGACGAAGGTCCAGTAGGCCCACTTGGTGGAAGACTGATAGTAAACTTTTCGGCATGGCTTTCGACAGATGCTGTTGTTCGATTGTTCAAGGCGCTGGCTTTTGCTGTCAATTTTTTGTTGCCCTCCTTTGTTTTCCTCTCCCCCCCCCCCCTTCTCTCTCTCTCTCTCTCTCTCTCTCTCTCTCTCTCTCTCTCTCTCTCCCTCTCTCTCTCTCTCTCTCTCTCTCTCTCTCTCTCTGATTTATTGCTGTTTTCACTTTTCCCTTCTTCTGCCTCCTTGGTAGTGTGATGGGGCTGCAACNNTCCTCTCTCTCTCTCTCTCTGTGTGTGTGTGTGTGTGTGTGTGTGTGTGTGGGATAGATGGTTTATGCGTGTGCCAGAAAGTCCAGCAATCCGCGAGATATCGCCTTCTGTAGGAGAAGGGAAACATTATCGCCAGTGTTCTGGACAGGATCTGAGCTTTAAAATATTTCCCAAAAATGCTGTCCACTTCCAGTTTGAGAACTGCCAGAACTGACACCCATCCGCCGCTTTCCTGATCAACCACGCAGTGAATCGGTTTCGTGCATGACCTGGGAGGTGATCCAAATGGCTACTCCCACTCCCACTCTCCCCGGCCTTGGGCCGTGCGCTCTAAAGGCTCTCTGCTGCCAGACCAGTTTATGTATCCTATTATGTTTCGGTGAGTCCATGAGGTGCGTCTCTCCTGGACACAGATTACATCTGGCCAGACTCTTCCTCCCACTCCTCTGATAAGGTCCCAGATCGCCTGCCGTTTCTCAGGTTTAATTGTCGCCAGCCCATTCACATTCAAGATCGGCTTGGCCGCCCTCCGACACTGATTGCAAATCTAGTCCTTGCCACGGGTCTAATTTAGTAATTTCCTCTTTTTTTTTCTTTTTTTTTCTCCCTATGCATAAGGCCCCATCTATTTGGGGGGGCATCAGTTGGGTTGCTTATCGCCGACAAGCATGGAGCATTGTGCAACGAGAGAGCTCGAGTGAGGGGTTCTTTTTTTGCTGTCCCCCCTAGTATGTTGGCTGTTTTCAATTTCGTAGAGTTTCAGAAACGGTCGTTCTAAGTGAGAGTGTTGTCTGTCACTGCAAAAAATGACATAGGATTTCTTTGCAGGCTAGGCTACCACCCGGGCCGCCCGGGTCACCCTATTTTCCAGGACGGCCCGGCCGTGCAAGGACCAGGGAAGGTCCTAGCAAAAAAAAAAAAAAAAGTGAAAAAAATCAAAAAATAAAACTACGTTATGCAGAAAAAAAATAAACTGAACAACTTTTGCCTCAGGGTCACATCGAAATTCTGCACCAAATTTAGAATAGAAAATGAAATTTTATTTGTTTTTATTTTTTATTTTATTTTTTAACTGTTTTTGGCCCGGCCGGGCAAGTGACCCCGGGCCACTCTGGTAGCCTAGATAAAAACGGTATTTCTTCTTTTTTTTTTCTTTTTTTTTTTTTGGCTGGGTCCCTCCCTGGTCCTTGCACGGGCTGGCCACCCGGGACCCGGGCGGCCCGGCTGGTAGCCTAGTAATAATAATAATCATCATAATAATAATAATAAAAACGGTATTGCTGAGAGAGAAGCAGCTCAACATATAATACAAAGTTTCACTTCCTTGCCAGGCGCCCCTCTAATTTTGTAAGAGGCATCAGTCCCATTCGTGTTTGGCAGGTGGGCATGCAGTTCTTCGGTCCGGGAGCATTATTGCCTCGAAGTTCTATCCCATCCGCAACTAATTTATCTTAGGGCATACTTGTTCATAGATGTAATTAGGGTCAGATACATCGATGAGGCGCGCATGCAGTTCTTCGGTCCGGGAGCATTATTGCCTCTAAGTTCTAACCCATCTGCAACTAATTTATCTCACGGCATACTTGTTCATAGATGTAATTAGGGTCAGATACATCCATGTCCTGCCGTAATTGAGGTCAAATACGTTTCAGATAGAGCTAGTTGCCAGTACGCCCAAAACTGATAAACAGATCATGAGTTTGAGCTTCGTCAATCATGCTCAGAAATGCCTTGCAGCTGTCCCGGAAGACTCCCTTGGGTATTGGCAGGGTCTTTTTTTTGGGGGGGGGGGGAAGTGCATCTGTACCCCGCTTAAAGATGGGGATACCCACTATTATACCCAGCCCAAGCGTCCAACTTGTATCTATACCGGGACCCTGTTCAATGTTGCATAATACCCAACTTGCCCCCTGTGCAAAACTGTAGGCATACCCAGTCCTGCAGGCCCCTGGTTGCAGACCACGTAATTACGCTCCTGCCCAGAAACGGGCTGGCAAAATTGTGGGTGTACCCACACCCAGGGGCGCGCCATGAATAGCAAACCACAAAATTATGCTCATGCCCATTCAGAAATTCATGCTCATACCCACCACGTGGACAGTTGTGGCCCAACGACTGCTGGGTATGAGCATAATTTCAGCAATCCTCGGGTAGAAGGGTACATGCGTAATTTGGCCCTTCCACCTTCATGAAATTCAGAATGAAAAATGAAATTAAAGTATATTTATTTTATTTTTATTTTTTTTAATGTTTTTGGCCCGGCCGGGCAAGTGACCCCGGGCCACTCTGGTAGCCAAGTATTTTATTTTATTTTTTTAATGTTTTTGGCCTGGTCGGGCAAGTGACCCCGGGCACGACTGGCAGGGGGACAGCTGGTGGAAGGAGCGCCAAAGGTTGATGCAGTCCTCCCCAACGGCCGAGTTAGGCCATGAGGAGGAAGGAGAGAGTAGGATAGTTGAGAGCGAAATAAGAGACAGATTTAGGGAAATAGTAGTATCCCAATGCAGGGAGTAATTAAGATAGAGTAGAACGAATCAAGTGGTAGTGTAGTAAGCAGCCTGCAGACGGAGTAGGCTAGGTAGCCTTGTTTCGGGAGGACTGTAGGAATAGCAAGTAGAATCCTTTGTCTGTTTGGTTTTGCTGCTTTTATTTTATAACTATTTTAGGATTGTCAGGTTTTAGGGCCGTGATGGCAATTTATTTTTGTACCAGGGTTGGGAAATGTCGGTGCAACGGTCGAGAGGTGGTCATATTGCAACCGGGCATACCCCTTCACCTGCACCTAAACTGGGTAAAGGTCCCAGAATTGTTTTCGTCATCCAGGTTGTTTGTGGAAGGTTCCCAGCTTCCGTTATTGGTAATAATAATGATCTCTCCTTAAAAAAGAAAAAAAAAAGTATTATTATTATTATTATTATTAATATTATTATTATTATTATTATTATTTTTATTATTATTTTTATTATTATTTTTATTATTATTTTTATTATTATTATTACTAGGCTACCAGCCGGGCCGCCCGGGTCCCGGGTGGCCAGCCCGTGCAAGGACCAGGGAAGGTCCCAGCAAAAATCCCCATTGTCATTATAGCTGTATTTGGGGCAGTTTTCACTCTAAATCGTACTTGCAACCGCATGAGCCGCACGGCCGTGCCTTGTGGTCGGCCACACCACACCAGAAACAATCTCCGTTTTTTTTTTTTTTAATTTCTTTTTTTTTTTTTTTTTTGGTTTTTGCTGTTTTCGTAGAAACAGGAGAGAGTATACGTAAGGAACAGATCCTGTTGTTCAAACTTCAAATCTTTCCTTTTGTCTCATTGGGCATCACTCTCGACTGTTGCTGTTCTGTTTTTTTTTTTGTTTTTTTTTTTTCACCTTACGACAAATTTTCGCAGGGGGTGCTGGTGATCACTGATCCAGGCCTGCGACCTCTTTTTTTTTTCTTGGGTAGCTATTTCCCCAATGTGCCGCACGGGTCTCGCACGGATGGTGCGTGGCACGTGCGGAATTTGGTTGCCCGGCGAGCGCTTGCCAGTATATGGTATAAAATTATAAATTCAGCTAGACAGTAATATAATATGACCGGGCATTCTATTCGGGTGAAAGTGGTAGGTAGGTTCTGCGGAGCCGGAGAGCACTCAGGGCATTTTCTCACTCACACTGAGACCTTCCTCCATGAACATCTCGGACGGGAGTTGTGGCGAGCCCTGGATGTATCTGACGACAATTGCGTCCAGTGCTAGGCTGTTTTTCCAGGCGCCCGGGTACCCGTCCGGGCATGACCCCCGGGCAGGGTTCTCGGCAGCCTCAGCGCCGAAAAAACAAAAAAAAAAATCGAAAAATAAAAGAACTCCAGAAAAAGATTATGTTGTGTAGAATTGCAGTACGAACGACTTTTGGCCGAGATTCACACGAAAATTCCTCACGGAATCGGAGATAAAAACGAAACTAACAGAATCACACTAAGGTACCCCCCTTAAAAACCCTTTAGCCCCTTTCAAACCAATTTATACCCTCCTCCCGCCGCCTTGACAGCCAACTCGCAAAAAAGGAAATGAGCCCGGATTTGGGGTCCTCTGGGGGAGCGCAGAAAACAAAAAAAAAACAAATTGAAAGAAAATATTCTTGGGTACCACGGGTGTCATGCCGGGTGCGTGGCCGGCCGTCATAATCTTCCCAGGTTCAGTGTGACCGGGTGTCATGCCGGGGTGCCTGGCCGGCCGTCATAATCTTCCTAGGTCCAGTGTGAATATGACCTCAATTAAGTCTGGCCTTTAGTTCTCCTGTTTTTTTTTTTTTTTCTAAGTTCTCCAAAAGGGTGATAAAACCGGCAGTCTGTCTCCCAGCTATTTTGTTCCGACGGGCCTGTGAACCTGGGACAAATTGCAGCTCGGGACAACCCGACGTAAAAGGCTGTGGCATTGCCAGGCGAACAGCGAGCCCTATGTCAGCTTGGCAGGAATTGGTCTGCAGCAAACAGCCACGAGGGCGAAAAAAGCAGCTCAGACGAACTGGCGGTTTAATCACACCACTGCTCCTCACGGCCTCCAGGGTGCACAGGGCCCGAAGTTTGGTCCTGTCGTGAATGCCCAGCTTCCCTGCAGATGGTATTTCGAGCCTAATGATGTGCTTTCCTTTAGCTACTTGCTGATTCAGTTCCGGTAAGTCAAATTTCATTGCGGTTTCCCGATAGGAAACCCATGCACTCGGGTTGTTTCTTGGAGGGGGAAAAAAAAAAAAAAAAAAAGGAAATCGAT